ATATATATATATATACAAACTATTGATACAAAATTCTATCTATCTATTGCACCGTGTCTTATTGTAAAAATGCAGCGTAAACATATTTCATATAAGTACAAATCTTATCTTGGGATCTATAGAACAATTAAATTTAACGCGAGTTAAGTATCGATGTTTAATAAGTTTAATTCTATATAATTATTAACTAGATCAGTCGTTTTTCTTGAATAATTGTCGATTTATGTGGTTATTCGGTTCATCTTAAAGTATTTGGTCCGCGATAATAAATGCAATAAAATAATTCGATCTCCTTTTTTTTTGGCACTTTTCATTATCATTTGGAAGACGATTATTTATTATTTAAGGAATTCTTCAATATCATTAAATTTTCAGAAAGTTACGTTTATAAATATTTATCAACGAATAAATGGCCCCTTCGTTTACGATTATGGCACTGGAAAGATTATTTTCTTCGTTTCTCTGTCGAAGCGGTGTGTCATATTATACAATTTGAATAATTCTTTGAATAAGTAACGAATCTCTTTCTTAAAAACTAGCGTGTACTTTATACTCTACTCTCTGATGGATAATTAACAAATATAAACCATTAAAATCATTAATTTTACGGAAAAACACTTGTAATATTTAAAAGTGCAATGTTTCATAAAATGGAAATACATTTGATAGAAGGAACAAATAGATATAATATATATCGCAGAATAGATGGGTGTTATGTAATGTTGATTAAAAAAATGTAAAATGTAAAAATACGAGTTTCAAACTCTCTCTTTTGTCTCTCCGTCGCTGTACTTCAAAATACGCGCCATTTTTTTTTTTTTTTTCTAAATTGAGACTTACATCATTCTCATCGAAATTTCACTTGTAAAAAATACTCTTTTGCCTGGTCACCGGAGATCTTCATTCGTTCGTTATTTCTTTACTTCTTTGCATGTTGATCGTAGTCGCTCAAGAAGTACACTGTTTGTACCGTTGCGCGTTTTGTTCGATCTCCGCCAAATGTTTCTCCATCTCTCCGTTCAGGGAGTCAACCTCCGCCATCAGATCGGACAGCATTCTTTCATTGTCTCTGTAGACGCTCTCCATACCGTCCAAGTCCTTCAGTTTCGTCGAAGTGTCGGCCGTCAGTTCAGAGGCTCTCTGTAGAAGCTTCTTCGCCCTCGATATGTTCCCTTTGCTCTTGTTCACCCTCAGGTCCAACAACTCGTCCGCCTGTCTGTAATCCATCACGAGTGTCTTCGTCTTGGCGTCGATCTTCTGCGCTTCATCGGCCACTTTCTGCGCCTGGACGCTGATCTCTCGATTCAAAACGAAGTCGTTCAAGACCGATTGAGTTTGCAATTGCTTCAATCGGGCGTCCAACGACTCGACCGTCTGCGCGGTGCTGTTCGCCTGCATCTGAGCCCCTCTGGTCAACTCTGCTATCTCTTCCAAGTCCTTCTCGGATCTGCTGACGTCGCGTTCGGCTTGATCGATCGCCACTTGAGCTCGATCCTGAGCCCTTTGCGCGTCGCTCAATAAAACCACCACTTTGTTGGCTAGATTTTGCTTCGCGATCGCGTTCTCCTTCGCTCTCTCGGCGTCGTTCTTCAACTTCTCGGCTAATTGGAGATCGTCCCTGGTATCAGCTAGGATCTTCTCGGAATCGGTCAAGGAACCGACGATACTCTTTATACGATCGGCTAACGCCTTGATCTCGTCAGGCTTCAGTTTGATGTTCTTAGCTAGCACTTCGTTGGCCAAGTCTCTGACCATGGCTGGTGTGGGTTGTTCCTCGTCCAGGGTGCTACGGATCCGCTTGTTTATGTCAGACAGATTCTTGCTCACGGCATCGGTCAAATTACGTGCATTCAGCGCGTAATTGAACGCATCCTGAGCATTCGATCTAGCTGCCGTTGCGTCACGTTTCACTTGAATCATCTGGACAAACAAAGTTTTTTATCCACGTGAAAGATTTCGAAAGAGGAAGTTCGTCTTGAGAAATTGAGGGGGGGAAAGAGCAAGTTTAAAGCTACAATCAGATGTACAGATAACGCGAATCAAGAAATGAACAAGCTATGATGAAATGAATATTTAAATGTCAACGTCTACAAGAAGAAATAAGAAGAGAAAATGAAATTAAGAGTTGCAAAGATAAATGTACTACGTAAACAAATATTTAAATATTTATATGTCTAAAATAAGTTTACGTAAACGAAAAAAAGATCAATCAAATTGTGGAAATTACATTAGAAATCTAAGATCAGAATATTAGCTAGAAAAGTGGTTGAGCATCGTCCAAGAGAAGTATTTATGAAACGAAATCAAAGATGAAAGGATATTTCGAAACTTACGTTGCGAAGCAATTGTTCAGCCTCATCTTTGTGACTCTTGATCTCAGCAGCCTGTTTCTTAGCTACGTCCAGAGCTTGATTAGCCTTCGTCACAGCACCCGCGTCACAAGACAATCCGCCACAAAAACCGCATCCAGCACCGCCACAGACGCTACTGCAATCCGTAACATTGTCTCCGCACATTTCGAGATTCAATCCGGGCATAATTCCATCGAAAGTCTTCAGTTTCTCGTTGATCTTATCCAACGACTCCTTATTCCTCTCTTGTGCCTCCAGTACGAAAGCACGGTTCTTAGCCAATAAACTCTCCGTATGTTTGCGGAATCGTTCTGCGTCGGCCAGAACGTTGCTAGTATCGTTCGCCATTTTCTCTGCTTGTCTAGACTGTTCTGCCATTTGCTGCGTAACGTTCAGAGCGCCCAAGACGTTCTCCTCTTGCAACCTAGTCGCATTTTCCTTGAGATCGGCAGCAGCTTGGTGCAAGTTGTTCGTCCTGTTTTTCAAATTCTTCAAGGCAGCGTCCCCTAGATTCACCCTCTGGCTAACGTTCTCCAAGAGGTTGTTCACTTCCTCTAATCTCTTGGTGGATTCTAGCTTCTTGTTGTTCAAGTCTATGGCCAGATCGTTCAACTCGTCCAAATCTTGGCTTCTGATGGAGGCATTGTTGATCAATGCCTGGACCTGATCCAAAGACTGGACCATGTCGTCGAATTCTTGACTGTAGACGCCAGTTGTTCCAACCTTTTGAATCCTCGACGCCTCCTCGATCACGAGATTCGTCTTGTTTCTCAGACCAGTCAGCGTCACGTCCCAATTGTCGAAACATTCGCCACAGGGGTTGCATTGAGGCGCGTTCCCGTAGTAACCACGATCGCACTGATTACATTTTTCGCCGCCGATCCCCTTGTGACAGACGCACATTCCAGTTTCCCTGTCGCATTGCTGGCTGGCGGAGCCGGTTAAATCGCAATCACACGGATAACACTCGACATTCGGATTGCCCCAGTAGTTGGTTTGACACTCGTTGCAACGTCTTCCACCGAAACCCGGCCTACACTCGCAAGTACCGTCGTATGGATTACACCTATTGAAAATGGAAACAGATTGAAATGAACAGTCTCGAGGATATATTATTTCAAATAATATCGCGCTAGACGCTTTTGTCAAATTCGCATACCTGTCAGAGACACTTCCAACCGCGTCGCATTCGCAAAGGTCGCAACCTTGGCCACTGGCGATTCTCCAATGATTCTCTTCGCACGAATCGCACAGCAAGCCAATAACGTGAGGCAAACAGGGACACTGTCCAGTCCGATGATCGCAGGGGCCAGCGTCTCTGTCTGTGCCTAGAACGTTGCACATGCAATCCTCGCAATTCTGCTCGAGAGCATTCCCGTGAAATCCTGGCTTGCAAATCTGACAGTTGGCGCCATCGGTGTTGTAGAGACACTGGAGGCAACGTCCAGTATGAGGATCGCAGTTTCCAGCTCGGCGTAGATCCGTGTTGTTGTTGCAATTACAAAGTTCACAACTACCACCAGGGATCTCGGGATTGCCGAAGTAATTCTCTGCGCAGCTTTCGCAACGTGGACCGGTGTATCCGTCGAAACACTCGCAGATCACGTCGTGGGTGACCGGGTCCAGGGAACAACTCTCGGCGTACGAATGTCCAGAATCTATGGTTCCTGTGAAAAGTTGCCTTACGTAAATAAAAGTATTGTACTTTAAATTAATACCAACAAATCGATTCTCTCTAACTTACCCGGACAAGGGCACGCTCTGCACGGAATATCGACACCGATTCTAGGATCACCATAATACGTCTCGATGCATCTGTCGCAGTTATGCCCAGTTGTATAGTCTCTGCAATTGATACACGCGCCGGTCTTGGAGTCGCAACTCTCGGCGTGGCCGTTGCACTCGCATCGTTGGCAGTGAGGGAAGTTCCAGAAACCAGGCTCGCATTGGCCGCAAGTTCTGCCGTAGGTGTTCGGCCGACACTTGCATCGGCCAGTCTCAACGTCGCAGAAATTATCCAATGCCCCTACACCGTCGCAGTCGCAAGGGATGCAACCCTCCGGGCCAAATCCGTACGTTCCAGGCGCGCAACGATCGCAACGTCTGCCGACGACGTTCTGTTTGCAAGGGCAAGTGCCGCCGTAATTTTCGCAGAACAGACTGTGCGAGCCAGTCGGGTTACACTCGCAAGCGTGCGCCCCGTCGTAAACGTAGTAACCAATGCTATTTTGATACTTCTTGCAAACATCGGGAATATTGTTCGTTATGGCGTTGAAATCGTTATAGTAGTCGCTGCAGCGATATCTTTCGTACTCCTGGCGACGAAGTTCACCGATTACAGGCATTTTGAAAAATGGGATTGAGTCTATCCTCGGCCTGAGGACGATCGAGTCCACTAAAATGGACGCGGACGGCGTGTCCGCGTGATTGTTGAATTTACGGAATTGCAGCAGAATATTGTAACGTTTCCCTGCCTCCAGGCAGACGGACGGCTGTACAATCACGCTTCTCGATCTTAAAGGAAGTTGCGCGTACAACTGATCCTGTTCGGGTCTCCAATCAGCGCAAGGACCGTTCGGATCCACCGGACTATCTCTCTCGATGATTATCTGCACGTTTTCCCAGGATCCAACCTGGACTGGTTCGTATCGCACGATGATGTCGTACCATAAACTCTTACGTATATCGTCGATCGTGAAGTTCAACATGGAACCTTCTAATGCTTTCATGAAGCCAGTTCCGGTCCATGTACTGTTCCTCCCGTCGCGATACGGCTCTCTTATCACCACTTGGCAATTCTGTGATCATAGTTAATAATTTCTATGTAACAGAAGTTTTCATTAATTTTTTTAGCAAATATTTTTGAATGACTAGCCTTTAAGTTTGTATCATTATTTGAAAATTTATGTGAAATTTATCTATACTTATGAATTTGATGTAGAAACATACAACTATTAAACTAAAATTGAAAGTCCATCTAAAGGTTAAGGAGATATTGTGTTTCATATTTTAGCAATATTTTGCCTTCGATTTAGTTATTTCTAATTCTTTAATAAGGGAGCCAACTCTCGAAATATTAAAAAATGTTTGAAGGAGAAGCATTTCCCCCAATAACAAATTAAATTCGTTAATTGAAGGATTAGCGAGGAAAGATTTTGAGTAATTACATCGCTAGCTCTGGATAATTCGCCCTCGTAGATGAGAAAGTCCACTGATCCAGTGTAATAACTTTGTTCAGGTTGGTTGCAAGTTCTGCCACTAATGTGAGGCCTGCAACGACACTGGCCAGTGATCACGTCGCAAGAATTCTCGTAGGAACCACCAGGATCGCAATCGCAAGGCTTACATCCGTCTGGATCTTCTGAGAGTCCCCAATATTCCGGCAGACATTGATTACAATCCCGAGCAGTAACATAACGCTTGCAAGTACACTCGCCAGTCATCGTATTGCATCCACGATTGTCGATGGTACCCAGTGTGTTACAAGTACAAGCTAAACAAACAATTTATTTTTATATCTTCGGTAAAAATTTTTCAAGTATCGTCTATATTTAAAAATTCCGTACAAATTAGAAATTTTAATATTCACAACCTATGGTTAATAATTATTCTTGTTGTAAACTGATAGTTAAAGAAGTGCAAATTAAGTTTCAACTTTTAAAGAATGTAATAAATTAATGTAACATGTAAATACAATAAAACGTCAAAATTTGTTGAATTGTTGATAAAAATTCGACAATTTTTAAAACGACTTCTCGAGAAACATTAATTAACAGAAAGGTTAATCATATGTGTTAAAGATCGATAAGAAAAGAAATTTGCAAAGAACGTGTTCTTCGAATCGATACCTTGACATCCTTCGGGATTTTCGGGATCGAAGTTCCAGAAACCATTTTTACAACGATCACAACGGCGACCTTCGACGTTTTCTTTACAATGACAGCGACCAGATTCACCACCGGTGATAGGATTGGTTATTGAGTCGCATATACCGTCGTCCAAGGAACCACTCAGATCGCAGTCACAAGCTGAAAACAAAAAGAACATTATCCTGATCAACTTACAAGAGAGTCAAGTTATTTCTTACTCTGTTTTATCTCGATCTACGATACAACCGAAGAAATAACTCTGATTTCAAATAAAATAACATAATAAACGTAACTTACGTAAACACACTTCAGGATGAGAAATATCTTTGGTGACATCGCGATAGAAAAACGGCTTGCACAGCTCGCAATTCGTTCCCATAGTGTTGTGTTGGCAATCGTCGCAAACACCGCCGGAAACTCTTCCAGAACTTTCGTAAACAGCTTCGTCGAAGTGACAGGAATTCGTGTGATTGTTACAGATGCAGGGTCTGCAAGCGTTCGTCTGCTTTCCAACAGCCGGTTTCCACGGAAGATCGTTGTAAAAGTCTTGACACTTCTCGCAATTCAATCCGGTTGTGTTATGAGTGCACTCGCATCTGCCGTGCACCATGTTCTCCTCGTCAGCGACGCCAGGAAGCGGAAGACATCTAGACGCGTGGCCGTAACAAGAACAGGATCCACGAATCACGATGTTTTGGATAGCATAATAATATTTTTCGCGAATCTCTGGACGATCGTCGAGAAGATCATCCCCTAGCGTGTGCAATCTGGTCATGTTTATGCGAAGGTTCGTGATTTTTAAGTGAGTCTGCACTTCCATCGAATAGGGGTTGTCTATCTCCAAATTCTGAGGCAATACCCTGAGGAAATAACAAAGGGTAAACACTTGTTATTTGAATAAAGGTAAAAAATTCTGTTAATTAATATAAAAATGATTCGTATTAAGTAATATTGTGTTAGGTTACAGATGACTATAATAATTTACATTAGATCTGGAGTATTTCATTTTTAAAATATTTAAAGTATTTCATTCTACTTCCTCATATTAAGTAGTGACAAAATTAAAGTAACACGCGACGCA